GAACTCTAGCCGACTCTAGCGAACACGATAGAAAGGAAAACACCTTACGAAATATTCTTTAGGAAAAGACCAAATGTGAAAAATTTACGTTTATATGGTAGTAGAGTTTTCGTAAGAATACCCGAACCAAAAAGAGTATCAAAATGGGATAAGAAGGCAGATATAGGAATTTTATTAGGATATAGTGAAGTAGGCTATAGAGTCTTAATAAATAATAAAATAGTAGTTACTAGACATGTAGATATTATAGAAAAAGATGTAAAATGCATTGGCATGGACGAATGTGAGAGCGATAATGAAAGCGACGTAAGTATGGATGATGAACAAATTGAGGATGAGGTCTTTGAAAGCGATGATGAATCCGAAAATAAAAAGATAGAAGAAAAAGAAAATGAAAATGAACAAAAAACTCCTCGCAGGTCAACGCGTGAGAGGAAAAATACTGTAAGGTACCCAGAACCGGAAAATTATAGTATTTTTGTAAATTTTAGTAGAGTAGATACGCCTAGTACGTTTGAGGAGGCAATAAGTAGTAACGATAAAAATAATTGGGAAGAAGCAATGGATCAAGAAATAAGATGCATAAGTAAAAACAAAACTTGGAAATTAGTAGATAGAATAAAGAGTAAAAAAGTCTTAGACGTGAAATGGGTGTATACAAGGAAGTTAGATAACCGATATAAAGCTCGATTAGTTGTAAGGGGTTTTCAACAAACTGATGTAATTAATGATATATACTCTCCAGTCGCTAAAAATCAAACAGTAAAAATCTTACTTTCTTATTGTTGCCGAAATAGCTTGATCATTGAACAAATGGACGTAGAGACCGCCTTTTTAAATGGCAAAGTGACCACGGAGGTATATATTAATCAACCTAAAGGGTATGAGGATGGAACAAATAGAGTGTATAAATTATTAAAAGCTCTTTACGGATTGCGAGAAAGTCCTAGGGACTGGTATGAATGTTTCGATGAGTATGTTACAAAATTAGGATTTAAGAAAAGTAATGTAGAACTATGTTTGTATGTCTTTGGAGAAGGTGAAGATATTATTTACCTTTTAATATATGTGGATGATTTATTAATTTGTGGAAGAGATAAAAAGAAAATACAAAAAATAAAGAAGTTATTATCAGATAGATTTAAGATGAAAGATTTAGGCGAAATAAAGGAGTATCTTGGATTAAATATAAATTACAATTATCTAAAAGGGGAACTCACTCTAAGTCAAGAAAAATACATAGAGTCATTAGCTGATAAATATAAAGTTCAAAATAGTAGAATGTACAGTACTCTTATGGAGACAAATTTGAAACTTGAAAAGGCTGAAAGTTGTGAGTCAAGTATAAAGTATAGAAATTTAATAGGTGCTTTGTTATACATTAGTTCAAATACGAGACCAGATATAAGTTTCAGCGTTAATTATCTTAGTAG